TTTCAGTTATTTGTGTGAGGAATGTAAACTCTGAACTTTTATTACACTTCCGCACTTTAATTATCTTTATTTCATTTAGATATCCCGGGGTCATTACAGTTTTCATTTTAAAAATACCAAAGTATATTTGGCAACTCAAATCACATTTAGTAATTCATAGAATAAAAACCAATGAATTGAAACAAACCTTTAACTCTAAATTTTCTATTAGATGTGATATAAATGTCTTCATTTGTAAAAACATATTTTAGGATTTTAAAATGTAAAATCATATTTTTTTCAATGTGAATAACAACTCTTTATATATCCCATTATAAATGTAAATCACCTACCACACATTATATATTTGAGAGGAAATTTTGAATCTTGAGCAAAAAGTTTTCACTTTTACTCTTAAGCTCTAATTTCTTATTCTTCTTACACTTCATCTTGTTCATATGCTCTTCAAGAGAAAAAAAAAAGTAATCATCTTTCTATTTGTGCTACAAAAGAGAATGTGTTATAATTTTTTTTTCACAATCTATTATTTAGTTATTGTAAAAAATGATTAGAAAATGCTTAAAGGTAATTTGACTTTATGAAAAGAGAATTTTTGTGGAAGAAAAGAGCGTTATTCTCAAAAAGAGAAATATTCTTGTAAAAGATAAAAAAAAAATGCTTAAACGTAATTTGTCTTTATGGAAAAGGAATTCTTGTGAAAGAAAAGAGAGTTATTCTCAAAGAGAGAAATACTCTTGTAAAAGATGAAAAAACTCTTGTGAAGTGAAATTATGCACTATGAACTAATACTTGGAAGATATTTTTTAAATGTTAGTAAAATATTTAAAGTGATGACTTAGAGAGAAGATACATGAATGAGATTGTTGTTTGAACCTATATAAAAGCTCATTTATCTTTTATAAGAAATTCTCAATAATTAGGTAAAACTATTTATTTTATGCAAAATAAATAGTTAATAAAAAATCATAAAATAAATGTCAAAACATAAATTCTTTTTTTATATAAAGCCAATTATATGTGATTAAAAATTTGAATATAATTCCAAAATTTGCTTTAGTTGTCAGATATAAAATGCTAAAAGATCTTGAACCAATCTTCTCAATCATACCTTATAATTGTTACTAGTCTTGCGTTTAGACTTTTAAAAGAACACAAATGATTTATAAACTTAATACCTGTAAATAAATAGTACTCCATTAGTTGCTAGTACCAAACAAAAAGAAAAGTACATATTTATGCATAAAATAATATATACTCAAAATAAATTGATAACAAGTACATTTATAGAGATTTCTTTCTCAATTGTCATGCACATATATATTCAAAATTCAATATACATATATGTTTTTACATTAAAAAAAACTCTTTGATGCGAGTAGATGAGGCTATTGACATTAATAATAAATATTGCAAGATCTCAAATTTACATTGTAATCTATTACTTTGTCAAGAATTAGATATATGAACCGATATTTATTATATTAAAATGTCGAAATGATGAATTCTTAACCTCCACTAGTTATGCTACAATGACTAATTACTAATTAGTAAAATTTCAAATTTTAACTAACAAAATTTAATCTCTTAATGGCCTAATTACGATTCAATAAAATACTTGGAGATTATGAGTTATCACGCTTTATTGATTTTAATAAATTACAAGCTTATCATAATAGTTTTTTTCAATGCATTAGAGCAAACCTTAAGATAATTTAACATCAAATATAGAGATAAAATCATACTTATATATTTTTTCTAAAATTCTATGAGAAAAAGTATGTATCACTTGACAACCTCATTAAAAATATTACTTATATAATAAGAAATCCACTAACTTATAGGTGATATATTCGAAATATAACAAAAGAAAAAGACAAAAGCTATTAATGAAGATGTTCGTAACATGATAAAACATCACATTAATTTAGAGTGCAAACATTTTATTTCCTCACTTTTCTTTCTTAAATGACTTCACTAAAATAGTATTATGAGAGAGACTACGAATGCTAAAATTAAAAATAATAGACTACACTAAAAGAAAAAAAAAAAAAAAAGAGTAACCCATTAACGTGTGTATCTATATTATTTGGTAATAATAAAATAATAAATTTAATTATTATTATTTTTATTTCTATAATGAATAACAAAAATAAATTGATAATAATAATAAAAGTAGTGATACCAACATATAAAAAGAAAAATATTAATAAAAAAAAGAGTGAAAAAATAATAAACAAAAATAAATTGAGTTCGGGATAAATTTAATAAAACTTAAATCTAAACTTCACTTTAAAAAACTCTTATAAAATTTGGTAAAGAGTTTAAATCTTCAAAGGATTCCTTAAATAAAAGAGTGACATAAAATCCACAACTAAATTTTTTATGATTGATTCTTACAACACCCTATAAAGCTTATATTCTTATGCTTTTCTATAAAGACTTTAGTGTGTGGGCACCTCTCTTCTAGGGTACCCCCCCCCCCTACCAAAACAAGGGAACCCATAAATAGCAAAAGCCGAAGAGAACACCCAACTATTTAAAAAATTAAAAATAAAAATCATTTAAAGTTGGTGTCACAATCTAAGGGTAAGAGAGATGACTAAATGTAAATAGTGGGGGCCCCATTCACCAGTGATAATCACACTATTATCCTTTTATTTTATTTTTAATAATAACTTCCCAAATTTTGTACCTATAAAGCACGTGTCAAATTTTATTTTATTTTAATTTTTAACTTATTGTATGATTATATTTTTAAATTCATTAAATTTATATTTCCAACAATAAATCTCACTATTACTTGAAATAATTTGTGAATTATATATTTATTATTTTAAATATTATTAATATAAATTTTTAAAGATTCAACAAAAACTTCTGATTTGTTCTAAGTAGATCCTAAAAAATAGATTGGATACTTGAATCTCTTTTGCATTTACTATTATTTATTTTTATTTTGTAAAGAAATAAATAATAAATAATATTTCTTTTTTTTTAAAAAAAAAAAATTAATTAAAAAAAACGTGTTCCTCCATGTGGTATTGTTGTTATTATTGTTGTGTCCTTCCGGAACTCTTCGTCCTCCTCAAGAGCCACCAGTTCAGCAGCCAGCCAAACCTAGTTACAAAGAAAATCGGAGATTCAGAAATTAACCAAGAAAATTCACATCTTATCTTACCCCATCTACTCTTCTCTACTTTCTCTCTTCCTGCAAATGGATTCCTGGTCTCCTTCTGTTGCAATGGATGATGAATTTCAGAAGCTACTCATTCGTATGAATCCTCCTAGGTACAATTTTTCTATTTAATCTAGCTCAAATTTTACATTTTCTCCAACTCTGATTGCTTCCATGTGGAATTTGCAGGGTTACGATTGATAATGCCTCAAACGGAAAAGCCACCTTAATTAAGGTACTTGATTGAGTTTTCTTGAATTTCTGTTTCTTTTTCTTAGGTGGGGTTCTATACGTATTTGTTTACATAGATACGTGGAAGCTTTTCAGGTTGATAGTGCGAATAAGAGAGGGAGCTTGTTAGAAGTGGTTCAGGTTTTGACCGATTTAGATCTTGTAATTAGACGAGCTTACATTTCCTCTGATGGAGAATGGTTTATGGATGGTTAGTTTTGGATTCATCCCCTTGCCAACATGGTTCCGTTCATTTTTAAATTTGTGATTAACTTGATGATTTTTCTCTGCAGTGTTTCATGTTACAGATCGGCATGGGAAGAAGGTATCTGAAGATGATATAGGTGAAAGAATTCAACAGGTACGTCTGAACTCACCAGTCTTCGCTTGCTTTACCTTTGAATTTCATAGTGAAATACCAAAAAGTAATCACATCCTCTCTGCTTTCCACCAAAAAGGACTTTTATATGCTATCCTTCCATGTAAACTTAAATTTTTTCCAGCATTTTTCTCTTATTTCTTAAGGTACCTCCTTCGCACCAGAAAAACTAATATGTAATAGTAAGAAGAATTAAACAGGGAAAAGAAATCTATTTCTCTTTTCTTTGATTACATGTTGAATGTCATGGAAGAGGAGCTGTCAAATCGTATGTAGGTACATATGCAAGTTCCTATATTATTTCCTTGATAGCATACTTTCAAATTTTCAATTAAGACTATCAACAACTAGATAACAAAAGTACCAGATTAACAGAAGTTTGTTTTTCATCTCTATTTTGAGGGTTGCTTTCGTTCATTCTTTGTGGAGCCATGTGAATTTCAAATCATCTTGATATTTAAATTTCCATGTCACAGTCCTTGGGACCAAGAGCACGCAGCTTCCGGTCAATGAAAAGATCTGTGGGTGTCCAAGCTGCCACAGAACACACAACAATTGAATTGACAGGACGAGACAGACCTGGATTGCTTTCAGAAATTTTTGCTGTTCTGGCTGATCTCAAATGCAATGTAGTAGCTGCAGAAGTCTGGACCCACAACTCTAGAATGGCATCTGTGGTTTACATCACGGATGAGGCTACGGGCTTGCGAATTGATGATCATGATAGGCTTGCTAGGATCAAGCAGCTTCTTTTGTATATACTAAAAGGGGATAGAGATAAGAGGAGTGCTAATACTGCTGTTTCTGTGGGTTCTACTCATAAGGAAAGGAGGCTGCATCAGATGATGTATGCAGATCGTGATTTTGATGCGAATGACGTGGATTGCAGGTCAACAAGTGAAGGAAGGAAACCTCTGATAACTGTCGAAAATTGTACAGATAAGGGATATACTGCAGTGAACTTGAGGTGCGCTGATCGCCCCAAGCTACTCTTTGATACTGTTTGCACTTTGACAGATATGCAATACATGGTATATCACGCAACTGTGATAGCTGAAGGACCAGAAGCTTATCAGGTTAATTTTTCATTTTTGTGGTAATTTTTTGTTTTTCTGAAGTCGGTTTATATATCTTATCTCATTTTACTGTTTAATTTTTTGTTTAATAGGAATACTATATCAGGCATATGGATGGGTGCCCCATAAGTTCTGAAGCAGAGAGACAAAGATTAATTAATTGCCTGGAGGCTGCTATTAAGAGACGAGCTTCCGAGGTACAAACATGGGAATGTTTAAAACACATGTCTATCTGTTGTACAAACATGGGAATGTTTAAAAAACATGTATATCTGACGTACAAACGTGGGAATTGAAGTAATCTTATGTGTGTGTGTGTGTGTATATATATATATATATGGATATCTGATGCTAACTTGCTGCTAGTGGTTTACAGGGCATACGATTAGAACTCTGTAGCGAAGATAGGGTTGGCCTTTTGTCTGATGTTACTCGCATATTCAGAGAAAATGGTCTTTCAGTCACTCGAGCAGAGGTTACCACCAGGGGTTCCCAAGCCGTGAATGCTTTTTATGTGACAGATGCATCTGGAAATCCAGTGAAAAGTGAAATGATTGAAGCAGTTCGAAAAGAGATTGGCCTCACCATTCTTCGAGTGAAAGACGACTCATGTATAAAGTCTTCACCATCGCAGGAAAGTGGGAGGTTTTCTTTAGGCAATCTTTTCAGGTCTAGATCAGAGAAATTCCTTTACAACTTGGGGCTGATAAAATCATGTTCGTGAGCAACTTTTACTTGGTAAGGAAAAAGATAGAGCGCCTTCTTTAGTCTTCGCGTGTAAATGTTAGTAGATCGTGTTGGTTTGAGCATACAACTTATTTCTCTACTTGGGAGTCAGGAATCGAAAAAAAAAAACTTGCTATTAAAAGTCTGAATTGTAAATACTTGCAATCAGGATCTCTTGTAAATACCACCATTTCATTTCTACACACCATAGTGTTGGAAGTTTTTTGTAGATATAGTTCTATTCATCACACCAATATTTGCAATCAAATTCTCTGTGGAACAAACCCTTTATGTAAACTAGAATTTCTTATTTATGAATTCATATAAAGCTCTCCTTATTGTTGGGGGAAAGAAAAACAATGGAGGAAGATGATGGGTGAAAAGATGTAATTGTATCTCTTTATCCCTCATATTTCTTATGTGGACAGGAATTTGTTAATGCAAAATTTCCATGCTTCTTGATTCAGATTTTATACGTACAGAACAAAATTTGCCCATAATTCCATGAACTTGAAAATATTACACAAATTAATTATATATTACATTATCTAAGAAAATATTATAAATATTAATATTTTTATTAATTAAATATTACATTTAACAGTCAATGTTCTCGTTTTATTTTCTGCCAAAAAATAAGAAGAATTAATACTCCATTTTTGGGTTGGTTGAAAAAATTAAGAACAAAAAATGAGGAGTAGAAAAGAGATTCTGAAGGTAAAAATGGTGTAATTAAGAGACAAATAATGAGTTTAATCATTTAATAATTACCACATTTAAAGCTCCGCCGACAGAATGTTAACGTATGATCCGTCATTTTCTCCATCCCGTCGTCTCCATTCAGACACGTGGCATGATTAAGATCGCACGACTAATAGCAACTGATACGACGGGGCCCGCACTTTTTTCTTGGGTGGTGTCCTGTCGCGGACACTTGTAATATATTTATTTATTTTGTGATTTAAAAGAGAGGTCACGTGCAGAGATCACACGGGATCCTCCTCGGTGCACGTGCAGAGTCTAATTTCTTTCAGACTGACCTCAATCAATCACTGGGAGGAGATGGAATGTCGGATGTAATGCCATTGTACATCTAAGTGTACCCCTATCCTATATGTGCACATATGTCTGTGTGCGCGCGTGTGTGTGTATGTACATATATATATATTTATTTATAAGTAGAATTATTATATTCAAAGAGTAGTAATATAATTACTTACTGAACATGTTATTTTTTTAATTTAAAAATAAATAAATAATAGAAAAAAATTAAAAGATATTACAAAAAGACGCATGAAAAATAGTTAATAAGAAAGAGTGAACCTATTTGCTAGGTTATTTTTTTATTAATGGAAAAGATGAGCTAGGAACGAAGTA